ATCCAGATTTGCGTCCGATATGACGTAATATCTGAAATGTGGACCCACGGCCCTATCAGAAACGTTGCTATCAGAAACAATGCCCGACTGTTTTGGACGTAATATGGTCGGTGTTTACATTAGCATCGCTAACACTCAGAGCTAACCTGTACTGGAGAGCATGTGTGTGAAGAAGCAGGAAATGAAAAAGGAACTCACCTTGTGGTATAACCGGCAAGAGAGAAAGCCTTTGAGCTCCATACTGTTTCAGAGAGAATCCTTGATAATCCATGATGGCGTTTCATCACGGCAGTATTTAGTTTAGACAGTAGCTGCCGGGTCCCGCATGAGCTCAGACCCCTCCTTTTTTATTTTTAAAGCTTTATACCCCAAATCAGCACTTTTGAAACAGGAAGTGAAATAGAGGGATATGAGGCATGGCTAGAATGGGTGATCTGTTTGGTATTTTGAGCAAAACACTTCATAGACATTTTTTTTATATATTTGTATATATCTGAGACCTATGCTATTGCCTAAAAATAGCATGATAGGTGACCTTTAAAAAACAAGGTATAGGTCCCTGTAGTAATTCCACTTCTCTATACTGTGGCTCTGAAATTACGCCTTAACAGAGCTTTAAGGAAAGAATAGACAAATCCTCTGTCCTCTGTCAGTACAGTATAATTAATATACATCCCTGAGCATCCTTGACATAAATAGACATTTATGACCTATTAAAAAAAATGATTCCCAACATGAAAATGGACAGTTTAGGAATGGGAATTACCTCAAAAATGACTCCTTGTGTTTACTCCAAGTTATTTTCTGCCTGTAACTCTGTGTTTACGTCTCTGTGCCCCCCCCCAGCCGTCCAGATATCGCCCTCCTCTGGTTCCTCATCCCGTTCAAAGCAGCGAAACACCTGATCTGTGACCAGTACAGGTGGCTCACCATCAAACTGTTCTCTGCCCTCCTGCTGCTGGCCATCCTGGGACTCTTCCTCTACAGCATGCCGGGGTACATGGTGAAGAAGATGATGGGCGTCTAAAAGAAGTGAAAAACCAGCAGAGGATAACTTTGTGCATTTAGTTTGAATTGGAATTGCTTTGTGAATGTCGTGCAATTAGACGAAAATTATTGAAGTGCACTATTATGTTTCTTTACTCCAGTTAAATTAACTTGATGTAGGATTTGTGTTGGAGTTGTTGCTTATATTATGTCCTGTGTATGCGTCCGTGTATATTTCAAATACATCCATAAATTGACCTATGAACACAAGTTTCTAATTGTCCTGTCATTTGTATTTACTCTACGTGTCTTTATCTGTGTCGTATGTGTGTGTGTGCATTCAGACACTGAAGGAACATTATTAATTTGCCATCTGTAGCTATAATATAATCATATGCATTTCAGCTCGCAGAATAAAGTAGAAGCGTACATTTTGCCTGGAGGTTCTTCAGGCAATTGTTCTTCGCATTCTCTTGCAAATATTATATATAAATACAATTTAAATGTGTATATGATAAAGAAACAAACCACTCACACGTCATTCAGAACTTCGCCTTCAACTCCTAATCCATTAACCCCTCGCCCCTATTCCACCTGGTTTAGCACTTTTTTTGTTTTGTTGTTATTTTTCTTTACTTGCTTGTAGAGCACTTTGAGCACCAGGAAAAGCACTATATAAATAACATGCATTATTCATTATTATACCTAATCAATCCCTCGTTCTAAGGGATAGTCTGTTCTAGCGATAGCAATGTTAAAACAAGATATTGCCATTTAAGGAGGTTATATCCTCCACTGTTTCTTTGTTGTTTCACTTCGATCAAGTTTCTGATCCCAACCAGGAATTAGTCTGGTCTGTAACCCTCCAAAATCAAGGGGCATGTGCCTTGTTTTTGCGATCTGCCGTGTGCGATTTGAGACAAAACTACACGGTAGAAACTCAGACACTAGTTGAGTTCTGTGTACGACATGCAGTGTTACTAAAATAAATATCCAAATTAAGACACATAATTTCCTCTTGTTTTATTGTCTTTCTGTTCTTGACTGGGGACGGTTCAGCCATCATGAATTATAATGATAATTGTCCGGTTATTTTTCTGCGGGTTGAAGTTACAGCACATAGTCCCTTTTATCAAAGTGTCCTTAGCAACGGTCTGTTATTCCTAGCAACGGTCTGCTATCGAGATTAACTCATGACATACATATATTCCATTTAAAACCAATATTTGTTTAAAGTGGACCTATCATGCTATATTTGAATAATATATTGTAGTGCCATACCTATATAAGGTATATTTATACGTTTTATTTTTCAAAATACCAAACAGATCATGCATTTTATCCATTCCTCATTTTGCTCAATTTAACACTGCCTTTCATGCTCGGATTCAGTGAGAACAGCACCATCTGGTGGCCTGAAATATGTACTACAGCGTCTCCAGCGCTTTCGAACGGCAATGTCCGTGGCTGTCTCCTCCTGATTGGTGGAGTTGGCCCAATAGCCGTAGCACCACCGTCCTGACGTCAGAAAAGTGTTCAAATCTGGATCAGTCTGTATCAGATCCGTTGCAGCCCCTTTTTAAGAGATTTGGGTATGGAGGAAAATAGAGAAGGTTGTGTTTTCTGACTCTTGGTGAGTTCCCTGGAACACCGGGGACACATATTGATGTATAAAAGACGTACAAAGGTGCATTTTGCATGATAGCTCCCCTTTAAGTTTCTAACACCCTCTCTGTCTCTGTCCGTGCCCCCCCCCCCCAGCCGTCCAGATATCGCCCTCCTGTGGTTCCTCATCCCTTTCAAAGCAGCGAAACACCTGATCTGTGACCAGTACAGGTGGCTTACCATCAAGATCGTCTCTGTCCTCCTTCTGCTGGCTATCCTGGGACTGTTCCTCTACAACATGCCGGGGTACATGGTGAAGAAGATGCTGGGCGCTTGAGATGTCTCCTGGATTTTAATAAATCACTTTTCATTTTGTGTTCATGGAAAAGTGGTTTGCCATTTGACAAAAGACACCAAGTCATAGGTTTTACGCTTTAGAAAGACTACAGTACACATCATGTAATCGCTCATTACTGCACATTTGTTATTGTTTTAGAATGACGGTAACGTTTGTTTTTGCCTAAATTATCATTATTGTTAATTACTCTCTGGTTGTTGTGGTTGCTGCTGTTGCTAGGTAAAGTTGTCGCCTTTGTGTTGATTTCATGTGAACTGAACAGTGTGCAGTATTGGACTGACTTTTGATTTGTGAATAAAGTACAAACTACACATGTTTCTAATTCTAAAATGATCTGTCTGGTCTTTGTGCACACGTTGAAGCTTTTTTACTTTTTTATTTGTATTTTCAAAATACTACACAATGACATACTATACAGAGGTTTTTGAGGGACAATCCTGCAGGTGTAATAGAGTGGTGCAGTGACAAGTCCTAAAACCAGGTAGTGAGTTAGCATTTTAGCACTTCCTGTTCCCTCGTCTCATAAAATAGCTGGAAATAAGGTCTGTGGTTGAGACAAATTTAAGAGACGGATCACGTTTTGTTCTACGACATTAAATACATCAGCAGTGACCCCACTGGTGATTTCTGAAGAGTGTACGTGTCTGAGAAACGATGGTTGTTACCAAGTGGCTGAATAGGACTACAGAAGTCGTGGAGGTCATTGTACGTCATTACGCCGAACACGTAAACACTCCTCTAAATTAGTTTGCCCTGTTCTGCTTGAAAGCAAGTAGGCTACCTGCCTCCTGCATACTGTTCAAACAAACGCTTCAACTCGTACCATTTCGAATCTGTGTGTGAATATGGATCTTAAGTTGGCGTAACGTTGAAGCAGCGACCCTGCTGTAGTTCCTTTATAGCATAACGTTAGCATTTTGCTTCTGGCGATTACATTTTTGATTATTCGAAAATTATAAAAGTAGGGTAGACCTGTGGAGATTATCCGGCTGAACAAAACGTGCATTTATCAAACAGGTTCGTTTTCCACAGACCTTATTTCGAGCTATTTTCCAAAATCCTATGGAGAAATCCCATTGCTTTTTTGACGAGGGAACCCATGCGCAGTTTACTTCCTGGTAAATACGTTGTCCCTGCACTGCTCTGATATAAAATAAATCCAGAGCCCTAGGGAAGTAAGAAGGCCTATATTTTGTTGTTTTTAAAACCTCCAAACTATCCCTTTTCTCCTGAAGAACAACACAAACTGGACTCAAACAATAAGCAGTGCAAAACAAGCTAACCTTTTTATTTCAGTGATAATAAGTACCATTTCAGCTTCATTGTCAGGATTACTTTCAGTTTTAAGCAGTTTAGGAAACAACAGAGAAAATAAGTTCTTCGTCTCTTGTCTTCAAGACGTGACACCAGAAACCATCGAGAACATTCAATTAATCCACAAAGAAAAAAACCCAGAGCGGGACATTAAAAAAATAACAAAAATAGAACAAAATCATAAAAATAATCCCAGTTTTTCAGTTGCAATACCTGAAGTGAAAATGGCAGATAAGACACTTCCTCTCCGCAGAGGTTGATGTGATTATAATGAAATAAAAGCAGCATTATACAGCGTGGCAGCCCGAAAAAACCCCAGTTCAAACAGTTTAATATTTATATGCTACAAATGCTAAATATTCATGAAAAAAAGTCCCTAAATTGACTGAAATTAGAGGAAGTGACTGAAACAAAAAGGTACAAAGTGTGAAAAGCATCCTTCCTCTTTACAAACAGGACCATGGCGTGAGCTGGGAATTTAAATTATAATATGAGTTACCTACGGTCAAAACATTTTCTTATTTTCACTTCAAATTTAAATTAAATACGGGTAAATCCGGTATTTTTCGTTTTAAAAAGTTTTTGGAAATATCCTTTTTACACTCTCTTGCAGTACGTTTTTAGAAGTTTGATACGAAGCCAAATCTAGCAGCTATTAGCTTAGCATAGCACAAAGTAATTAGCTTAGTTTAGCACAACGTTTTTTAGCTTAGCATACATTTGAATTAGCTAAACCTGTTTAAAACGATTAGTTGATTGACGCAAAAAATATTTAATGCAAAAATGTCTTTAAATGCTTCCCTTAAGTTACTAAATCCAGAGCTTTTCTCTGATATCATATTGAAGTGAATATCTTTGTTTTTTTTTTACTGATAAAACAAGACATTTAAAGATATCACCTTTTAATTTGAGAACTAGGATGGAAACTCTTTTTTTGAATTTCTGACATTTTGTACCAAAACTGAAATGTTAAAACAAGATTTAACGAGGAAGGTTATCCCGGACTGTTTCTTTGTTTTCTCACTCCAGAGAGTTGATTTTGTATCAACCAGGAAGTAGTCTAGTCCGTAACCCTCCCAAAACAACATTTTTTACATTTCCAATTGTATACAGGTTATACAGTTATATAAGATATTACGTGATGATTCAAGGCCTTAAAAAGGGAAGATTTCACTCAAAAATAAATTGAATTGTATGGAACTAGATAGCTTGTGGTGCTCCAGGCGCCGAAAAAGTACATTCGAAAAAGTGTACTGTATAAATAATAATATTTCCAATACATCAAATCACAAAAGAACAACAAACAAAGTTTTTTTTTAAAAACAGACTTTTCCCTGTTTCCAGTCTTTGTGCTAAGCTAAGTCGAGCTAACCGGCTTCCATTCTGCAAGAAGCATAAGTGTATTTAGAAAGAATGTCAATTAATTGTTTTAAAATTAAATTTACACCCATAATAGTTTCAATTAAATTCCCAGCTTACAAAACACATGTTGGCATCCAAAGCTCCTGGAGAGAAGAGGGAGAATCTTAATAAAGGCAGAGATGCATAGTAGTAATATCTATCTTTTAATCAACCTAATTTCTATTCTGCAGAATGAGACCATTAAACATGTGTGTGTTGGGCTCCTAAAGCGTGTTTTAAAGAGAGAGAATGAACAACAGCGGGACAGTAGAAGTCATCCATTTGGGATTGGATTTGATGCAAAACAGGGACGGGGGAGAAAAAGCCGAACAGTGATTTACAAGGTGATCAAAAGCCCTTTTAAAAAAGCCAAGACAATTAAGTTGAAGGTCGGAAAAACAAGTCAAAGTATTTACTATTTTAAGGTTAAACGAACAACGCTGAGGCAACAGATTCAAACTAAGATTGTTGGACAAAAAGGGCTTCATGTATCAAGGACGATTCAGAATAATGTCAGCTGTATTTATTAGAGAAGAAATGTGTAATAGAGGAGAGTATTATCTTGGAAATGGTTCTGAAGAATGTCAAAGTGGGAAACTTTAAGATACTTTTCATGAAATGACATGTTTTGTTTGAGGATTCAGATTAAAAGTGGACAAACTGTGAAGTAATTTTAACATGTTTAGTCCTAAACAAAGGCAAAATGAAAGTGGAAACAAATAAACAAACACCGTGAACAAGTAGTGCGAACAACAATAAAAAAAACAGTAAAAACTAAGAGAAACGTGTGTGTGTGTGTGTGTGTGTGTGTGTGTGTGTGTGTGTGTGTGTGTGTGTGTGTGTGTGTGTGTGTGTGTGTGTGTGTGTGTGTGTGTGTGTGTGTGTGATGAGGTCCTTTAACTACGAAGGTCAGATCAGGAGCACCTGTGGAGAGAAGGCGTCACGCAGCCACTTCCTGTTGTTGTTAAATTAACATTTTTAGTGTTTTTATCCCGAGACGGAAACATCTGGAAGTCTCCAAAATCAGTTTTCCTCCCGATTTTAGTACGAAAGTACTAAAATCGGGAGGAAAACTGATTTTGGAGACTTCCAGATGTTTCCGTCTCGGGATAAAAACACTAAAAATGTTAATTTAACAACAACAGGANATCAACATGTGTCCCCTCTTCTTCATGTCTCTTCTTCATCAACATGTGTCCCCTCTTCTCCATATCTCTTCTACATCAACATGTGTCCCCTCTTCTCCATGTCTCTTCTATATCAACATGTGAGATTCTCTCTCTTTTTGATCCATTTCTATAAAAACCTGTCTGAAAATGAGCTGATCAGATTTTGGCCACTTTATGATGTCATAACGATGTTTTGTCTTGTGTAACCATTAGCCAATCAGCAACCAAGGTAACCCCCCCCCCTCTTATCACCTGAATCTCCTCCTAGAGCACCATTGAGTTCTTTGTAACCAAATGTCTCTCAGAGGGGCGTGGGGAGGGGCTCCTTATTTTCATCTAAAGTAACAGACAGAGAATCAGCACTTTGGAAACAGGGCTGAAACAGAGGGGATTATGGGTAATGCTGCAATGATCTGTTTGGTGTTTCAGCCAATCAGAGACAGGCTCTGTATATATCTGAGACCTATAATATATTGATGAAAGACAGTATAATAGAGGACCTTTAAGGAATTATCGTGTCTGAGGTTCTGCCAGTGTAATAATTAAGGAGACTATAAGACCCTCTCCTCTCCTCCCTCCTCCTCCCTCAGGTCTGTCTCCCAGGAACAGTCTGGAGGTTTTGACTCCAGAGATCCCTGGAGAGAGGGACAGAGGAAACTGCATCACGTCTCTGCAGCTGCACCCGAAGGGCTGGGCGGCGCTGATCCGCTGCTCCAGCAACATGGACGACCAGGAGGTACAAAAACATCCTCATGTTTATTAATCTGAAGTTAGATATCTGTTTGTCCTTACTGGTGTCATTTCCTGGTTGCTAACAAACGCCATTGTAACGGTGGTGGACTCATCAGAACAGAGTGGGCGAGCTGACCAATCAGAGCACAGTGGGCTCATGGGGGGGGGAGGGCAGGAGCTCCAACTAGCCGTGTAGGACAGAGAGTGAATACACATACTATACAGAGATGCTGTATGAGAAACCAATGTGAGTTTGGAACATTGAACAATGTAAATCTATTCTAGTAGACCTCAACAATGGAATTATGATCAGTAGAAATGGACATGACATGGGACCTTTAACGTGACAGCAGGCATAACAACAGCCGGTGTTTCCCCGGGAATATTTGCCCATCCCTGATCTAGATCTATGCAGTGCAGCTGAATCATTATTCTGCGTTTATTTAGGAAAAGCTATCAGACATCTGCACGTCCGCTGCAACCATCAATTATTTAAATTACAGATTTTCATTTTTGCAGTTGCATTTTTATACATTTTAATATATTGGTTTTTATTCTATACATGCTTTTTTATATTCCTTTGACTTTTTAAAATGGTGTTTTACATGTGTGTTTTTTGCTGTGAAGCGCTTTGCCTTGTGTTGAAAAGACCCCTGCGTAATCTAATCTAATCCGGCTACATTTACACATGCTTTGCTGTTAACCGATACAACAGAATAATGATAATAATTAATTTTTAGAGCACTAATAAATGTTTAGAGCACTAACGTTCTTCTTGGAACTTTGTCCAAAATCTTTTGTAAATGTCTTAAATTGTGCTCTATAACCCCCCCCTCTCTCTCCAGTGGACATGTGTCTACGAGTTCCAGGAAGGCGCCCCCTCCCGCCCGCTGGCCTCCCCCCGCTGCTCGCTCCGCCTCACCCACTACATCGAGGAGGCCAACGTGGGCCGGGGCTACATCAAGGAGCTGTGCTTCAGCCCCGACGGGCGGCTCATCTGCTCCCCGTACGGCTACGGCGTGCGGCTGCTGGCCTTCGACGAGAGCTGCGGCGAACTGTCCGACTGCCTGCCCGTGCAGACCTCCGTGCTGAGGGAGATCCGCTCGCTCTACTCCCACAGCGACGTGGTGCTGACCACAAAGTTCTCCCCCACGCACTGCCAGCTGGCCTCAGGGTGTCTCAGCGGCCGCGTGGCCCTCTACCAGCCCAAGTTCTAACGGAAAGAACCGCGATCTGCAGACCTGGGGCAGAAACACTAGTCAGGGCTCAATCAATCAATCAATCCTAAAATCTAAAATATGCAGATGTCTCTTGTGCAAAGACTAGGATTAACCAGGACTGTACGCTACTTAGTTACAAACCTTTAAAACGTGGCACAGAGTCAAAAGCACGACTTTAAACCTTGCTTTTGCAGAAGTTGCAGAAGAAGTGTATGACTAATCAACTTAGGAATTAAATTGACAATATTGAGTTTAATCGCCAATAATTCTGCAAAAAAAAACACTTTGATCTACTCTAGAAATAAACCAAAACCACAAAGAAGTCACCTTGTAAGCAGCCAGCTCGAATGTCTAATTGTTAATATGGATTTTTTTGGTATACTGAAAGCAAAACAATCAAGGGATACTTCCCAATAAATCAAAAATCTTTAGGATCCCTGAATTACATTTCCTAGCATTTGTTTTAAAGTGCTCAATTGGACCCGAAGTCTGGAGTATTTTAAATATTCTGCCTGATGTGTGATGTAAAAGGAAATATTTAGGTTTCTCTGCCACACATCTCCTCAAACTCCTTCAAAAAGATCTAAAGATATGAAACTAAAGTTCTTCTGAACCCAGGTCTGCAGCTGTGACACAAACTAAAGAGGAGGAAGAAGAGGAGGAGGAGGAGTGGATTTAAACTTTAAAAACGACATTTTTGGGGCTTTGCAAACAGACTCCTGAAAGCCCGACTGTTGAGC